AGTATTACAAGTACTGCGTTAGAACGTGCATCGGGTGGGGCGTATAATATATAAGTGTCGACGTCGTTTTTGTTTTGTCTACTTTGCTTTAATTGAAAACAATGCTTTGTTTTGCTTTGTTTTAAAATCACACATAGGTACGGCCTAAATTCGTCGTCCCCCTGAAATAGCCTCTACCAGGCTTCAGAGCAAGGCTAGACAGAGTACAAATTGACCAAACAGAAACCATACACCATACAAAAAGAAGGTAAATTTATTCCAAGAGTGCTTTGTTATTTTGTAAAAAAAATACCGAAACTCATTATTAGCCCTGCTCGATTGTATCACTATATTAAACATTATAATATTGCTAACGTTAGCCCTTATTTTGCCTTATTTGTTGTTAACGTTTATTCTATACCTCTTTTATTTATCATGTTCAGTAGTTGTTGCCGAACATTGTACCACGTCGTGCAATAAATATCTTCTTCCTCCCGTCTGTAGTTTACGTGAGTCGGTGAGTGACATGTGTGACCTGTTTTTAGCTGGGTACGGCATGTGACCGGGATGTGTCCTGTACATCTGGAGCGTGCGCACTTTTTCTGTCCTGTATTTCTGGGCCGTGTCCCACTGGTCCCGCAGACAATAGCTCTCAAGGCGTGGACAATACTCCCAGTCCTACACATACCGTTCTGTCAGCGTGTCCTGTAGGCAGCGTGCAAGGCACCGTCTCTCCCATGTCCCTAAGTCTCCCGCGCAAGGCTTGCAAATGCACATGAGACCCTAGCCTCTACCAGGCTTCGGGAGCGGCTGGAAAGTGTAGAAATGGCGGCAAACCGTATTTCTTTAGAGAACCAACTCCCTCGGCATATTATCTGTCTATTTAGCCAATTTCTACTCTTCCAACCGCTTCCAAAGCCTGGTAGAGGCTGGACGACCCCCTCCCAAAAATGGCATTAGTAAACCGACCCTCTACCCTACTCCCCCCCTCTGGTTTTCAATTGACAGATGCATATTTTCTCAGTCGTGTACTCCTAGCCAAGTCGACATGACAAACGACTCAGTACCTGACGTACGAAGCCGTTTATAAGTCTCGCAGATAAAACCTCGCGCCAACGTTAACTCTGCCCGCGCTGCGTGCACCCAGGCCGGTCTGGCCTCCCCGGTAACCTGCAATGAATGAGTTATTCGCCGCCTCACATTCACTCATTAATCGCCTCTCTCCAACCGATTACACCAAAGTTGTTTTCAAAAGCAGGCGCATATCGTGCCAGTTAAGTGACAAGCTATAAGTCACGCCGACAATGAGATTTTTCCGTAGAGAAGGTTTCTTATTTGATTTTTTTTTTCTTCGAAAGAAGGGGGAGGGGTGCAACATGGCTATTCTCCAAGCAGAGGTTTGGGCTTTGTCTTATTTTTGGCGTGTTTTAGGCTTTTTAATCGGGCTTTTTTTTCTTGCACTATTTTGTGCCGGTCGGATAAAAAAGCCTAAAAACACGCAAAAAATAAGCTTAAGTCCAAACCTCTGCTTGGAGAGTACAATACGGGATTTTTTGTGACGCGAATATTTGCCTAGTTCCAGAAACCCACACGTCTGAAACCTACAGACCACTGACGTCTGGAAAAACAAAAACAACCTGTACGACTGTCAGCTGACGTTTCTGTGGATTTTGTCCGCTCTCGATGAGAAGTGGCGGCAATTAACAAGTACAAGTTTGTTGTTTTTATCTTACTTGGCGTGTTTGTCCTACCCCCATATAAGTATGCGCTAGTAACACACATGCTATCGACTAGAACTCTTGGAAGCGATGCCAGAGTCGGATAAGATTGACGCTGGAGGCGTCACCTCTGCACGGTTCGTGCCAATATTGCTTGTTCTCGTCTCTCGTGGTTCTAACCATGCGGCAGAGCGTGTGACAGCCCTCTCTGTTGTCCGCCCTTCTCACCGAGAACCTCCGCACACACCACAGGACTCGGAAACTCACGCAAAACTGAGTCTTTTACTGCGTGGTTTGTGACCTCGGCCTTGCACTGTCCTTATCCACCTTTATTGTTTGACGTTTTTCTCCCCCCCTCGAAAAAATTGTCATGGTGGGTAGAGTTTGAAGTGGGCAGAAATCCTTTGGTACACCGAGAGAGATCCCTAGTTTTGGACACCGCTCAAAACAACACCGCGTCTCTAGGAACTTGTGCGGGCGGGCTGAATGGAGCTAGGATCCTTCGATGGTCGTTCTATTTCGTCCTCTTGAACATTCCTCGTTTGTGCTTTCATCTTTTTTTCTTTCTTTTTTTTCTCGGTCATCTTCGTGTGGGGCACTCCTCGACTGTCTTTTGTCTTTAAATCAATATTTCTCTCCTAGTCAAGAGCAGGGTACGTGCAGCACTACGGCTTTCTTGGGGGGCAAAGCAACCAATTAACGATACATACTTGTCACTAAACACGGCGTTTCGCCGGTACATTTTGTCCACTTCCTGTACAACGGTAGTTAAGGAGTGAGGAGTGCCCCCACCCCCTTCCGAACAATGGGCTCGCGGCCTGTGATTAACGACCTTGAAAATTGCTTTTAGAGGACATGAGAGCCGCCGAGTCGAAAAGTCAACACGGCAAATGTACAACTTAAGAGCCAAATATACACTCCGCGGTACGGCTATGTTTGTGCTGTAAAAAAAAAGAAGATCAACAATGTAGCGATCGAGAGGTTTGAGTAAAGCCAAGCTTATTATATCCCAATCTACGAGCGGTCTCCCAACACTGCAAGCTGCAAATAACGAGACGACAAACGCGGTTCAAATTTATTTTGGATTTAGGGTTGGAGTGGGTTAAGCCTCTAAATTATACCCCAGCCCCGATACGGAAGAACGCGCGGCATGAGAGTGAGATTGTGGCGGGACAAATGGCTCTGGACTGTGGAACGGCAGATAACGCAGCCGAGGTCCGTCGCCTGGACTTCGGCAGTCGTCGGAGGCATTCGTAAACTCGAACACGATTCTGGCGACAAATTGCTTCCAGATCGGTTATTGATGAGAAATGTCACGACACCGCAATAAATTACCACACGCCACAGGCTGGTACGTACAGGTGAGGTAAGGGGCCGTACCTCCCGCAATGTACAAGCATTAGCCGCTACCAGGCACCGCGGATCGCTGGAAAAAATAGCAGAAATCGGCCGAAATAAAGGGATAGTATGCCAGAGAAAATCCGGCCAGAGTGAAGATCCAATTTGCGACCGGTGACATCCCTGGATCCTCACTCTGGCCAGATCTACAATCCCTTTATTTCGGCCAATTTCTACTATTTTTCCAGCGATCCGCGGTGCCTGGTAGAGGCTATACATTGTACATTCATGGCAGCCTCCCCCGGGCCTTTCTACGGAAATACGGATAGTAGAATTCGGCAAAAAGGAGAGTAAAATTGGCCATGGGAGTCCGGCCGCGGGAAGGTAGTTTCTTTCCCTCCGAATCGGCCAGTCAAACCCCAAGGCGGTCAAACTCCCCTGGCAAATATTCTCCTATACTGTATATAGCCAGCGTAGTTAGTCTGGTAGAGACTACATGTATGGTTACACTATACAGAACGATATGGTAGACTCTTCACTTAACACAACACAATCATTTTAGGAAGAAATGGTTCAGGAAATAACAAACAAACAAAAACAACAAACAAAGAACAGGGAAATAAAAATTCCATTCATAAAATGGATGTAATAGGATAGCACAATGACGATGATGTACAATCATACTACAATGACTTTCTTGCTCACCACACCATACGAATCAAGACGGGAAAATCAATGTTTGGATTAAACATCCCAAACATTCGCTGTACATTTGTTTGTTTGTTTTCTTACCTGCTATGTTGGTGATCGTGAATACGTTACGTTAAATAGAACAACGTAAAGTTTCACAATTTTCGGCCCAACTGCTATTAATTTACCTTGGTTTGAATAGACAGTGTGAAGACCATCCGGTATATATAATCATGTGGCACAGAGAGATAGAGAACATACAGTAAGTGATGGCGTCCCTAAGTTGTTGTTGTTGTCTACCAAAAATCTCTCTGCAAACATTTCCACCTTTACGACAGAAGGACCTGTTCTCTCTGTGCATTTCTCCCCACTTTCTCTCCCCTGTTTGTCAGCACAACAAGCGCCACGAGCCCGGTCTGTCAGTCCTCGGCTTAATCCTTTCCGGAGGACTCGCCATTGTTTCTACAAAACAAACCCTACACGCGTCAAGTCCTTAAGAAAAACTTTGCGAGTGGTACGCAGCTTCGGTAGGAATGTAGTAATCCCGAGTTGTCAAGTGTGTTTAGTTTTGGAATCCATGTTAATGTCCATGTCTCCATGTATGTACATGTGCATGTATCTGGTAGATAGAGCAGTGTAGCAAAGTTGTCCCACTCATCTGTTTACCTGTCAAGAACTACTTGTGAATATGTGAATATTAGTATGAATAAAGGGAAAAAACTTTGGCATTGTGTATTCCAACTTTGTTTCCGCGTTTTTTTTTTTTTGCGTCTAGTCTCATCCCAGTGTTGCCTTTCTGTTTCACGGGAAAAGGAAAGAAGACCCCACCCGCCGGAATGTTGTTATCCGTACGATTGCGTCACGCTACGATACGGAGATTTTGGGTGTAAATGTTGTCGTGTTTATTTACAAATCCACCGTGCTGTTTTTCTATCGCTTTATCGGGTAGCCACACGCACTCTTCGTGTCAATTAGTTCTCACCAGAACCTGGTGTTTGATGTACATTTGTGTTCGCTGGATTGGAGCCTCTGTCAAAATAAACCTTCAACACATTTACTAGAACTGGTGTGTTACGCCGAGGGACGAAAGATTGGGTTGTAGAAGTTATACGGTATGCGGGAAAACAATGATAACTGGTGTGTTACGCCAAGGGACGGTTACGAGTATAACGGATACTACCCCTAGCATGTTACTTAAGTTTGGATTGTAGAAGCTACTAGTAAGTATATACGATATGCGGCAAAACAATGAAACGACAGCAAACTGCACACGTGTTTCTTCTTGCAACGTTTTGATTTTATTCAAGACGACATTCCATCAAATATGTTTACAACAATGGCGCAAATAGCAACAATAATATAGACCATCTTTTATAGTAGTGGACGCCTTTTCTCTTTCTCAAAATCGGGTGTTCAACAGAAGTAGGGATGAAATGGAGTATGGGGATTTTTCAGAAATGTTCTGTACCCCTGAATAGAATAGATTAAGGCACCTGTTTCGTCTATACTCGCGAATCATATATACTCGGTAATCTTCGGAAACGTTCGGCGGTGTCCGGCAACCACTCGGGTCGTACCTAACAGCTATGTATACCTGATTTCAGTCGAAGGAAAGAACTTATTCTTGTGGCACCAAGCTTTTATTTCTACGTCACAATTATTGCTCGTCGATACCAATAACATCTATCTGTCCTCTTCATGGGGACGATATGTACTCTTTAAAACAACCGAATTATTTACAAGAACAACAAACGAACAGAGAAACGAACAAACAAACAAGAATGTGTTCGCAAGTCTCAAAAAATAAATATATCTATTTTACACATTTGTGCATGTCGAATTCCGGGATAGACCCTTACACTTTCGTGGCGTCACCGACGCCTTTTTAACCCAGCTATATGTCTTCTAACTTGAACCAAACCAAACCAAACCAAACGTATTCTGTGACATTTCACGTTCTTGTATAGTGAACTTCGTTGTCGTTTGGAGCCAAAACGGAAAAGGTAAAGTATTTCAAACAAAGCCAAGAAGTTGTCATCAAATTATGTAGTCATTATCATAGAATAAAGCATGTTATATACCAGTACGTATTCTAAAATAAAGTCTGTTAGACCAGTGCGGTCTGTGTTGGTTTACCCCTTTCCTGTCAGGTTTGTATCCCGTTGACAACATATATCTGGACGGCCATGTTCGGTCTAGAGTTCCCTCGGCTTGGGCATGCGCAGAAGGCAGCCACGTTGAAGACCACCTGATAGTTACGTCACGAAAGCGATCGTCTCTACTACTTTTCAAAAAGAAGCTATGAGCTCTGCTTCTTGTCCATCATTGGTCTACTGTCTCTGACGTCATCGACGTCGACTTGGATTTCTACGTCTTCGTTCTGCGTGCTGTGCGCATGCTCAGCCTCGCTGTCGGAGTGGTCCTCGCTTTCGGAATCGGAGCAGCCTGATTCGTCCTCTCTGGTCACGTGGTTATCACGCTTGTCGTCCGTCTTCTTGTCGCTTTCTCCGCTGTCAGACTTGCAAGTGGGCACCTCCTGGGGAAACGAAAAAATCCGTGTTAAAATCACGTCGTGTGATTATGGGGTTGTGTGGCGTAAGGGCAGAGTACTATTATTCGGCTCAGAACCAACAGGTCCCGGGTTCGAATCCTGCCAAGTCACCAACCTTGACCTCCTTGGGAAAGGCACTTTACACGACTTCCCTCGCACTTCACTCAGGTGAAAATGAGTATGCCAGAATGATCACGATCGAGGGCATTAAAGGAAAACCAAACCAACCAAACCATCTCCAATTCTATCTGCTGAACATCGCTGTCTACAAGTGTTGTCCTGAATGTTTTCGTGTCTTTAGTGTCTCTCGTGCACGCACACAAAACAAGACGCCCCAATTATGTCAGTTCTGTGGACATACACGCCTATATAAGATCACTGGAGAATAGATCGCCGGTGAGAGATTGGTCTAAACAAATACACACCACTTGCAGTATTTTAGCACAGACACAAACACGCCGTTGTGCTGCTCTATCTTTCCATCTTAATTGGTTTGTAATATATTGATTTCTAACAGACGATGACAGTAATTTGTTTGTGTACAGTCCCGGCCGCCCCCCCCCCCCTCTCAACCCTCAAATGTGCCGAGACGTGAAATATAGACCAACAATGCGTCTCCGTCCATCGTTAATCAAATCATTGATCGTTTTATTGTGTTGATTCGTTAACCATTTGATTGAGTTATCTCTCTCAAGGCTTTTACAACTCTTTGTGCAGTCGGACTCCAAGTGCCTGACTGTGCAAGAATAGGGCAATAGAACGTCTGTAATCGGTTTATTATGCTCAATAATAACATAGGAACGGGTTGTTAATCACGATATTTACCTGCTTGAGCCGCCTCCACTTTGCGCGTCTGTTCTGGAACCACGTCTTTACCTGGAAAAGAAGGCATCGGTTTAGTCACTTTTCAATAAAGGAATATTTAACACATTCAAAATAAACGTATGGTAACATTCCAACATTGAATACGTAAAAATAAAATCTTGACAAGTGTCTAGCTACGTCTTTATATCATTTCCAGCCAATGGAAGCAAAGCAATACAGATATAGATATAGATACAGATATAGATATACGCGTATTGATACAAGAAACTTCAAACTTGAACTAATATTCCATGTAAAGCACGTGACCCACATTACTAATACCTGTCTTTTAGTAAGCTTCAAATCGGACGCTATATTTTTCCCTGAGGTACCAAATATACATTAGAAGTAATATATCTACATGTTTGTATCTATGTACATTTGAAAACAGCACGACGCTATCTCTATAAAAAGAATGTTTAGATGTCAGTTTCTGGTGTTTTAGAAGCTCTCGAGTGCGCTATAATCTTGTTGGGGACGCCAGTGGCTTTGAAGACGGTCAACAACGGATTACCGTGCGCCGGGTCTGCTTGCGTAACTCACCGTGGGAGGTTATTTAGAAAGGCTCGCTGGCCTGAAATGTTTGTAATAACATATCTTTATGTCTTATTTGAAGTGAGTCGGGGCTGAGAGACACTATTGGCGTGTTGATAGCACATGTAAAGGTGATTATGTATACAGGCCAGATAAGCATGGGAGCTAAAAGGCGGGCAGAATATTTGTTGCGTACAAACAGTTTATCATATACAAGAGGATTTCGTTAATCTAGGTTATTGTTATATGCCCATGTAGGAATTCGCCGTCTCCAAATTTGACATACCGATCGCTTTACGAAGAGTTGTATAGTGTAAGAGTGTGTGAGCGTTACGCGGGAGTGTTGCCCGGCCCCACGTTCTGGTCTCTCCTTAGGAGCTACAGGTATGGTGTTATCGGGTGTAAGACAAAGGCGGGCCGTGTCGTCATCAACCCAGATAAGCGGCTCTCCCTCTGGCGCCAGTGCGGTCGCCTTGTCGATAAGACCAAAAAGGCACGGCAAATAATAAATTTGCCGCCAATGTTTTGTCGTTTACTTGTAGGCTGAACTCTCAACAATTCGTACACCCCTTCTTTTTATTCTCTCTCCTATTCTTGCGTTTGTCGGATCGTATGTGCCTTTTCACAGAAACGCTGCTCGTTTGGAACACGCTCTACCAAACCGCCCGGTTACCGTAACCACGTTGCTGTGTACACACCAAATTAGAGCAGGTACAGACGCAGGAGTAGTTTCAGATCCTGTGTACGTTTTGGGGTCAGCTGTTGAACCTTACAGATACGTGAATCGCCATGCTTTCCTGGCAGACTACCTGTTGTGTCGGTGTTTGTAAGCCAAAGTACAGGAGTGCTGTAAGACTCGGGAAAGCCTTGCTTCGATCGCAAGAAACATATAAACACTAAAGATTTGCAGAGGCTGACCATTAAAGCTCGTGAGAGAAATTCTGTGTCACATCTGACATTGGGGAAATTTGACTAATTGATATTTTCAATTAGACAGGATTGTCTTTTCAATTTAGAAAACTACAGCCCCAACATAAGCACATGGTTTTTCATTTAGGTGGTTAGTTGGTATCATATTCTTGGCTCAAATCTGAGTACAGTTTTGTTCAATTGCAAAGCGCCGTGCAATGAAGCTATTTTGCGTTGCGTAAAATTGTAACAAATGTGACTAGTCACAGAGGAAGAAAAAGAATTGGACATTTTGATTTCAATATCTTCTGTTCGCCGTCATGACTTGAAAAATAAGCACCTCATAACACCTTACACTGAACCAATCTAGACGGACTAGTCTACCACATGTACAGCTCCTTTTGTCTAGATGTACTATTTTACACTTGTACTGTGTTGTAAAATCATACTTACTTGTCTCTCGGTGAGTTGCAGAGATTTGGCCAGCCTCTTTCTCTCGGGCGGTGACAGGTATTTCTGAGACTCGAACTTCTTTTCCAGCTCCAGGGTCTGGTCGTTGGAGAAGCGCACCTGCCCTCCTTTCCTCTTGTGCAGCGGACGGTGGAGGAAAGGGTTCCACAACAGCGGCTTGCCACCGACTGGGGAAGACAGAAGTTTGTTAACCATAAATACATCGCAAAGGGACTGGTAGAAGTCTTATGGTGTAGTGTGCTGCAATTTTTTCAAACGGAATCATTATATTTCGATTGTATTTTGCATCTTTCACATAGAAACGTTATGTAATTGTTTATTGGTTATTTTGTTTATTTGTTTGTGGAGATAAAGTGCGGGTTTCATTGTCCAACGCCACCATCTAAGAAAAGCAAACTATTCGTATAAAATCGAGGATTTTCATTGATTTTCTGGAGGCTGAGTTCCGCGTGATTTTGGCAGGACGCCTGACAGATACAGCCGAGTACTTCACGGGCGTCACCTCTAATTACCTCACGGCGCTAACTACCCGAGCTGTCAGGGGGGAAATTAGCAGCTCGTTCAGAAAAGGCGCTTCGACCTCAGTGCGAATTTCAACACCTTTCCTTTCATCAAGGAGGTTCTTGCTTTTCTAGGGTAGTTCTAGTTAGCGCCACGAGGTAATCAGAGTTGTAAGAGAAGCAAAACTTGTAAGAAAAATGAAATGAAATGAAAGAAATGCTTCTACAACCAATGTACCTTCTTGCCGCTGCTATGTAATAAGAAGTTTTTCATCAACTTATTTTACGTATAGGAAATAGAATGCCCAGTTTGGAGAAATTGTTCGGGGTAAAAAAAAAAACATGGAAATTTCTCTTTCCCAACCCCGCGGCCGTCTTGTTTGCCGGCCTGTTGTGGCTTGTTTGGGATAATTCCCACAGATTCGCACGTTAACACCCAAAAGCCACCATGACCGTGAAATTGCGGAGAATTGAGATCCGTCCCTACTTGTTTGCCGTTCCCAGATATTATAGGTCGTTAGTATGTATGATGACGACCAGTCGACAAATTCTTATTGAAATTAAGTCCTGACGACTGCATTAGCAATGGTGAACCACCAGACATTTCTGGGGTACCTTTTCGTTAGTTAAAATCATATCGATTCACCAAAATAAAACGATCGTAGCAACCCGTTTTAACAACTGTTATTACTAGTTATATACACGCCCATAACGATAGTTGTTTTAACATTCACCGCCAATTATTCTGAATTAGCGAACAATGGGAAAATCACTCGGAACAACGAGAAATTCAATACTCTCTTTGATCACTTGTTGTAATTTCCATCAAGCTCCCATTCTTTTGTGTCGTGTGTAGTTTTCAATCAAACTTTTAGACAATGTAGTTTTTTTTCTTCTAGCTGAAGTTCTGTCTCAGACGGCGACGTTTTGACAATGAATGGTATTTTATCTAAACGCGCGGTACGGGGGAGCGAATTGCCCTGTTCAGACCCGCTGTCTGTATTGTCGCGGCAGTAGATTTAGCTGATACAATTCAGACCGGTGTTGAAACTGCGCCGTTCTATTGGGGGAAATAGCGGCAATCAGGCGGCGTTGAACAAGCAAATCGCCGGGCGATGGCTGGCTACGATAGCTCGATGGTTGCCAACTTCCTCACAACTGTCTCCCTCCAAAAAAACTCAATACATTCAAGAATAGTGTTGATTTCACTCGCTGAAAAGATTATGACTATGAAAACCGAACCCAGCACCGTTATTTGAAACGTTACACGACGTGAAGTGCTACTTCTAAGCAAGGACAAATTTCAGTATCCTAAACTTGAGCCTTCGTAAAAAAAAGCGACGTGCGCTCTCTCTCGAAAGTCCTCGATCCTAACGCGGAATTAATAGTTTGCTCGTGGGATTTAGAGATACCGCGGCGCCATGGGAGGATGTAGGAAACCGCAAGCCTTTTATACCTCTGTTCTTTCAGCACACAATTCAGCAAGCTTTAACAATCAATTCGCAATACGGAGACGACGGCATTAAGAAAACACAATAAAAAGGTGTAGTAGTGTTATATACAAATGTATATGTCTATGTCTGTATCCTATGCCTTATCTATTTTGAGAATTGGGCGGAAGACAGGATACAGATGTGTGTTATCGGAGTTAGCAGGTTTCTCTCTATACAGGATGTAGAGAGGAGGGAACGAAAAACCCCAAATCCACACCAACAACACTTCCTCTTAAAACACAAGAAAACTTTCCTCCAACAACCAAAAAAAAGTCTGCGTTGGCAAGACTGGTATAAAATTGCTTTACATATAAATTTTTATGAGTGGGTTGGCGAAAATGGGAGTTGATGATATCGTGCTTAGTGACCTACGAATCCTGTATTTAACATTTTAGTGACGGCTCAGTGAGTGACATGAAGGTAATTTTAAGACTACATGACGGAAACATTGTAGATTTATTATTGACTAACAAAAGCACAGGGACTTTCCTGTGGTCTACTAAGATCGAACAAAAATCGATCATACATGTATGGATAAAAAATGTAAATAAATGTATGGATAAAGTCATCCTACTTACAGAATACACGTATGTGGCAAACTATGCACAGAGGACATGTCAGTGGCAACATTAGATGTTAAACTATTGTATAAAATATTGTATACAAGTATTGTTGAGAGCCTTACCTTTTAGAACACCGTGCCTGTCTAGGAGACTGTGCGGGTAGTCGGCGTGCCTTGGGAAGGGGTAGAGCGGGGACGGGAAGCCGGTGGGCCCGTAGGGCGTCAGGTGCTGGGCGGCGGTGAAGCCGGTCTGCAGCGCCGAGTGCAGGGCGGGGTGGTCGTAGAACGGCGTCCTGGCGTAGGCCGACAGCGGGGAGATGGCGGTGGGGGTGACCGGGGTGGGGTGGACGGGGGTCACGGTGGTGGTGGCCGCCCGGGTGCCGAGGATGTCGTCGATGAAGAACGGCGTGGGGTGGTGCTGGATCGGCGCCGTCGGGTACATCGCCGGCACGCTGATAGGACCCGTCGGGGCTGTGTGATGAGCTGTGCCGTACTGCAGACTCATCTTCCTCGGTACGTAACGATCGGGCTCGTACTGCAAAAATTAATACACACAGTCACACGGGAGGTAGTACGTAGTAATAATCACCAGGCGATCTTGACTGTACGAAGTCGTAGCGAACACTGACCTCACGTCCCAATAAGTACTCGACTCAACCCCTCCAGGGGCGGGGCTAATCAATATCAATTAATTTCACTCGAGAACAATAGCTACTAATCACTAGACCCTCAACAAGCCCTCTGATTGGTCAAGAGGTGATTGGGAGTTGTGCAAACAACTCAGTCTCGGTTGCCCCGCCCTTTTTAGCGGGGCACCCCGTGTTGCGGCGCACTGCTACAAAACAATAGAACAATTCGGAGCGCATTATTATACATTATGCTAGTAGCGGGGTGGCCGTTAGCCAGACGACAGTACTGATGACTTTACCAGACGTACTTCATACATATACATCATGTCAGAAAGCCATGGGTAATGCATGCACACATACTCAACCTTTCTGAAATTCGCTCGTTATTTTTTCGTATTTAAACTTATAAAAAAATCAGACTGCATGGACTCTGACACAAATGTGGTGATAATGTTGACCAACTCTCTCCTTTTGTTCGCCAATTATGTGTGCCCCGGCTTTTAAACAAGCGGCGTTTTGCGGCGATTGCGGGCAATCGAGGGGCAGAATGAGGTATGAAATCGCCCCACATTCGCCGCTCCTCAAACACGCATCATTTGGTCAGTATTTACGGGTGGCGCCAGGTAGAGAGGTAGGACTGCTGCAGATATTTACAAAGTCTCCTCTTGTAAAGTACGTGCTAGACTCTCAGGGACGGGGCGGTTTTATTTTTGGGACACGCGATAGGCATATAATATATTCATTTCTTTTTAAACACACGAGGTTTCAGTGATATGAATTTCTGATATTATTTATTTCGTTTTTGTGTTCTTTTAACTTTTTTTGTCGAGATAGATGCAAAGAGGTTTAGATTCCGTATTCTAAGTCGGCAGAAGTCAAAACAGAACTAGTTAATGTCAACATTTGAAGAATATTTTGTTACGCGACTTTTTTCGTTAAAAGAATAAAAAAGGAAAATAAAAACATGAACTTCCTAAAGTATAGCGTAAGTCAGAGAGCTCTCAAGTAAGCGTTTTTAACTAAAACTGTGGACCTCCCAGGCAGTGGTTGGGTAAATTTTGACAAATTATGACATGTTTGTTCGTGTTTGTTGTCATGGCGCGCGGAAGCGCATATGGGAAACACGGCGTTTCATCAAGATAAAATATCCATTAAAACTAGTTCGTGTGACAACTTGTTTACCGGCCATATTTTGTGCTTACTTTACATTTTCTCATCTACTTTTCACCACTTAAAAAAGCACACGATTTGTACTTAAAACTATTGTATAAAAACATTGACACATGTTTGATCCTTAAAATTGAACTTTTCTTTGCTTGAAAACTTACTTTTTGTTTTTCGGGAAAAATATTTTACTCCATGAAAAAGCTATGATATCTTTTGTGATATTTCTTTTTATTATCTATCTATCTATACATTTAATTAAATCTGCATTGAAGTAAATCTACCGTTCTACAGTTTAGTAATTAAAAACCACAGTTTGGCGGTGCTGTAGGTTGTTGCGACCCTGAGGTCTGTTGTGTCCAGGACACGAGAACAGCGCTATCGAATGTCCTTATTTGACACGGTTTATGCCGGTACAAGAATGCCCGACACATCCGATCCCAACCCTCGGTCACGCATGCCCCCGCCGCCAATCAATTATTTCCACTCAGTAAGGCCCATAATTGCCCCCCGAGCTCTCCACCATTTGCACCTTTTCACGCGGACCTTATTAACACTGGCTGTTCGACATGTCACGCATGTAGCCTCTACCAGGCACCGCGGATCGCTAAGAAATTGGCCGAAAGAAAGGGATAGTATACCAGAGAAGATCTGGCCCGTGGGTCGCAAATTGGATCTTCACTCTGGCCGGACCTTCTTTGGTATACTATCCTTTTATTTTGGCAAATTTCTACTATTTTTCCAGCGATCCGCGGTGCCTGGTAGAGGCTATCACGCATGCACCAATCGTTAGAACCCGGGCCGTTCTTCAGATGATCGCCGCTGAATGGCCACTTCCTTTCAACAATAACTTCACACGAGAAGAACAAAAAGAAAAACTTGTCCCTCTATGGCTTTCCAATGTCAGAGATGCTGGAACAACAAATATTCTACCCATGGCAACGCGGGGGAAACATCGTTCAGAAGTGCCCAGACTGAAACACAAGTCCACCCCGCAAAATCTACTCTCCAAGTAGAGGTTTGGGGTTATTATTTGCGTGTTTCTAGGCTTTTTATCGGGGTTTCTCTTTTGCACTGATTTTTTTTCACCCAACCCAACAAACCCCGATAAAAAAGTCTAGAAACACGAAAATAATAACCCCAAACCTCTGCTTGGAGAGTAGCAAAATCCGACCAAATCCGAGCGGTTCAGTGATGGCTAGATTGACAACAGACTGACGAACGGACAGTACAGCAATACTCTCCAAGCAAAGGTTTAGGCTTCGGCTTATTTTTGGCGTGTTTTGGGTGTTTTATCGAGCTTTCTTTTCTGTACTGGTATCATTTTTTTACGGATGGAAAATGGTAACTGCCTGTCAAATGAAAATATATATTGTCTGGCCAATTTGATACTGTCTTTGCAGCCACCAAAAGATCTGCTTGGATGGAGATTAGTACAGCCCCATCCCATCATCATGTCCTTACGCGTGGGTTTCCAACAAAACACACAAACACACCTCCAAACAGGAGACAATGAGACAAATACAACGAATTAACGGCAGATGATGGTCGAACAATGGTGCCAACTCGCCGTAATTACTCCAAGTGGAGTTTTTCTGAGTCAATTAATGAATAATTGAAGAATAATAAGGTCCCATCAGAAGGTTCGCCACCCCGCGGGGAGACGCTATTGTCCGTGGGCAGGAGGAGAAGACTCTCAGATCGGTGTCTCTGTTTGGATTTCGCGTGCACCTGCTAAGCATAGCAATCTGCAGAAATTAGCACCTTGATTTGGGAGTATTTTGTTTAGCCAGGGAGGGCTGATCGGTCTGGAGGTAAGGCCCTGGCGCGAACTCAAGGAGGGGCCGTCTCAGAAATGGTGGTTAGAATGGTGGTGGACTACTCTCCAAGCAGAGGTTTGGATTTGGGCTTATTTTTGGCGTGTTTTAGGGTTTTATGGGGCTTTCTATTTTGCACTGTTTCTTTTCCCAAAAATAAAAGCAGTGCAAAATAGAAAGCTCGTTAAAAAAGCCTAAAACATCATGCCAAAATAAACCAAAACGCAAACCTCTGCTTGGAGAGTAGTGGATGTCAAGCATTTGATTTGGTATCATATTCTGCTTATAGCACTCACTGATCGCACATTCTATCACACTTGTCACAACGAAAAATTGAGATCCTTTAGACATTGACATTACAGACTATTTAGGACACACCCCGTCTCTCCCAATGAATTAATCCAAAAGATGTGAAAGTTGATAATAAAATCAATTGAATCAAAGCATCATTTTGGGCGCATTTTTATTTCGCTGGGCTATGTTACCTTCCCTATATCCCAACTATGCAAAACAAGGTTAGCCTAGTTTAGCATGTCTGTATTATTGTTGTTTCTAACTAAAGAGTTCACTATGATTTCCAGACAGTATACTGTACTCAGACTGTACTCACAAATATCCTTGTTCTCAATCAGAGATGTATTCATTTACAATCCAGGTGATTGCCATATCTAGTTAGGTTGAGTGGAATGGCATCACCTTGAGTAGACCAATGTTCAACATATTGTGTTGAGTGGTCTCTTGTTGTGGTGTTGAATGTTACATCAACAAATACTCAGCATTATAGATCCAAAGGAAAACAAGCATCTCTGGGCTACGGTTTTGCCATGTACGGCTAATAAACATCCAGATTATTACCTATAAGGGGTAGAAACTCGAAATATAGCACTTTGGGTCTTTGATGCTTTAGGGCGCGGTCAAATTTGTTATGGAACCTCGTACATCAGACTAACAACGTGGATTCAAAAACAGTAAAATTTATCGGAATAAGGAGAATAATTTACCAGGAGAGTTTAGCCACCGGAGAATTCATTCGCCAGCTTTGGAGGGGGAAATTAACCTAGCTTCCACAGACTGACTCTCCTGGCCTTTTTAGGGGGCGATCCGTACCCCCGTAGGAAGGCCCGACGGAGGCTACGACTCGAGTACCGTCTACGTACAGGGATGTAAGGAAGCATTTTTCGTGACAAGACTGCAGATTTGTGTACGACATATGCGTGACTACGTCCCGAAAGTTTCCGTCTCAGTTTTCCATCGTGCGACGACCGTGCCCGGGTCATCACGTGCAAAAAAAAGGTTGTGAACTTTTAACACACTTGCCACTTGAAGTTGAAAACGTTACAACGCCCTTTGCATGGGAATTAGGTTTAGTAATAATCCTCCTTCCTCAGCCATCATGTGGTTGCGTACATAGTTCCTTTCAAACTTTGCCAAGGCATTTCGCACACAGTGCGTTTTATAAGATAACTCGAATCTGAAAAACTGAAGATCTCTCGCCAAGGTCTTTAATGTCTTTTACCGCCGCGTTTTTAGTTTATTCTCCTTGATACGATAGCACGATCAGTTCTGAAGTCCTGGTAGATCTGAACCTCTGAGCGGGTTTAATCTGGGGTGGTCCGGGCTGGGTTTGTTGGATAGGTTATCGTGCCCGGCACACACTTCCGTTGACGTGCACTCTGGGCTCTCCCGGACACAATCACAGGAACACAATGTCAGCCGTATAGCCGGGGGGATAGACGGTCGACAGGGGTTTAATTAACGCAACAGGAAGAACTGCGTGCATTGGCCAAGATTCGGGGACACAAAGGATCCTAACTAGATGGTCATCCACGACCTCCTTTCTTCGTGTGCTGTACAGTACAGAAACTAATATACATTCAAACTCTCTCTCGTCGTGATAGTTGAACAATAAAGATGACACTAAGACGCTATGAACAAGAGAAACATTTCCTCCCATCGCTGGTATTTTTTCAATGATGTCTTGTTAAATATTCTATATTCAGGACAGTAACTTGCCCCCCCCCCGACCTACGTTGCTGCTAGGG